AGTTGTTCCCCTTTCATTCTCTCGATGCCTCTTAATCGTGTTTTCAAATTAATTTCGTGCAAAAACAATTTTGTTTTTCCAATTTTTAGCGCTGTCAGAACCACCGCAAGGTAATTTTACGCAGTCCTGTGAAGTTTTGTTGAAATCGGTTGAAAAATGTAGGAAATCCGATCCAATATATGAACTTACAGACACACACACAACCTGGGTTTTATAATAAGTATGATTTCCTTTGATTTCTGGTATGGGCTCACTTCTTTCCAGGCCCCGCCCAGAGATTTAAGGTTAGAAATGGCATCATGTCATTTTCCACTGACCAATTAGAAAAAAAAAATTACATAGATATAACCCTTCGTAAGGTGCGGGATGTACTCGTAAGAACAATTTTGTTTGTATTTCTTTAAGCCATGGGCTTATAGGAATCCCTTCAATGAGTCTACTGGAATCTTTTCCAAACAATCCGAGGTCTCCAACTGCGACAGGGATTGTTCATATTCCCATTTGCCACATTTTTGCGGTTTCGATTTCAAGGTCCTTGTATTTTGATAGCTTGTTGTTGTTGTTGTTGTTGTTGTTCTTCTTCTTCTTCTTCTTCTTCTTCTTCTTATTATTATTATTATTATTATTATTATTATTATTATTTTCTATGACTCCTAGTGTACATTCAATTCTTTTCGGTTCCCAGCAAGTGACCTAAGGTTAGAAATGGCATCATGACATTTTCAGCTGAGGATTTTTTAAGGAGAAAAAATTTAAAAAAAAACTAATATCACACACATTTTTTATACATAAAGCCCTTCGTAAGGTTTGGGCTGTACTTGTGAGTACGTTATTATGATTATTATTTTTATTTCCTTTGATTTCTGGCGTTTACACATTTCTTTCCGTGTCCCGCCCAGGGACCTAAGGTTAGAAATGGCATTATGACACTTTCCACTGACAAAGAAAATGAAAAAATAAAATTATATAGATAAAGCCCTTCGTAACGTGTGGGCTGTACTTGTCAGAAATTATTATTATTATTATTATTATTATTATTATTATTATTATTATTATTATCTGATGAAGAAATGCCAGCCAGTACGAATTCTACTTATAGTTGCTTTTAATTTCCAATAATAAGACCTTCATTCCATTTGCTGGTAGTCACAACTATTTTTACTAATACAGGATGCCAACAAAGTCATTACACCAATAGAGGCATTTATTAAAATTGCATCAGAAACTGGATACTGTTGAAGTGTTTATGCAATATGAAGTAGATAAATAAATATTTGGGTCCGATTCATTGGATAAAGGGCATCTAAAGTGATATTCTATTTTTGTTCATGTCTGAAACATCGAAACAACATTAATTGCGATGATGAAACATGAAAACATAACATTAATAAAACTATTAATATTATTAAATAAAAAAAAATAACATTAATATGCCAACAAATTTTACTTGCCAGCTGTTCTAAATTTTTCGTAATGACCTTTTGAAATTGTCTAAAGACTTTGTGGCCACCCCGTATATCATTCGGGATAACTAAAACTTTCATTTTGCTATAAAACTCTGAAGTAATGGCAGTAATTCCTTACTTTTGAATAAATTTCATGTGAACATAATTTTAGTTGCTCTTTTATAGCAATTACTCAATCATTCTAATATTATTTGATTAGATGAGCATTGTCAGCTATTATTAATTTCGATTTAGAATTTCCTGCATGTTATTTTTAGTTTTCGTTCAATACAATTATGCAAAACATCGTTGCATTAGCATTTCTGTATTCGATTAGTGCATCCGTGCTGTCAAAATTGATGACAAGAAGTAACGTATTATAAATAATATGTATTATACTGTTAAGTAATTTTTGTTTAATCCATGTATAATTTTGTAATTTAAAATAATTCATTGTTAACGTTAGTAATTAAACAGTGTACAATTTATAAACAGCTCAGGAAAGATGTCGGTATTTTATCCTCATAAATGTTATATATTTACAACCAATTTTTTTTTTTACTGCAAACGTTCCCAAAGCATAATATTTTTTGAGTAAACTTTGGAAGGTCTGAGTAATGCTTGATTGTGCGTAGATTCGATCTGTACTTTCAGAGTCAGGGGAAAGAAGGGGATTGTTACACACACACACACACACGCACACACACACACACACACAAAAGATCCGATTTCGACTTTTAGCAAGAAGACATGTGACTGTCTCCAAGCCAAACGCAAGAGCTTTTTCCTTCTCTCACATCACATAATGGAAGGAACATGTGTCAGCGACTTCAAACAAATCATCTCCAACTACAACAAAAGCAGAGAGGGTCAGTGAATCTTCGCTGACAATCATGTGTCGGCGACTTCATACATATCATCTCCAAGTACAATAACATAGACGGTCAGTGAATCTTCGCTAGCGATAAAAGTCTTTACTAAACTACAATTTTTTTTTCTTCTGTGAACCATTTACCCAAAGAGTAACTCAACTAAAGACTATTTTTAATCATTATTAAATTTATGTACATAAGTAAATAAAAAAAGATTTATTTAACAGGCATAAGACCATGTTTTCTTTATTTAACTCAACTAAAGATTTTTTACTTCTTTTTGACTCTATTGAATTCATGTACATATGTTTGTAAATACAAATGATTTATTTAACAGAAATAAACATGTTTTCTGTACTTTTATTTTATTACTAGTGTACTCGTCCCGTCAAAATTGACGGCAAGAAGGAATCTACTATAAGTAATATGCATTATATTGTAAGTTATTTTCGTTTAATCCATGTCCAATTTTCTAATTTAAAATAGTTCTTTGTTAACATTAATAATTGAACAGTGTACAATTTATAAACACCTAAGGAAAGATGTCCTTATAGTGTCTTCAATAAATGTTACATATTTACAGCCAAAATATGTTTACTGCAAAAATTCTCAAGGCTCAATATTTTTTGTGTAAACTTTGGAAGGTCTGAGTAATCCTTGACAGTCCATAAATTCAATCAATAATTTCAGTCTGCTTATTTTTCGTCGTATCATCATATGTATTTTTCAAAAATTATTTCCCCCCCCCCGTTTTTTAAATTATAATTTTTAAAGTTTAAAATGGATTTCTAAAAATGAAGAAAGCATTCTTGAAGATATATGTGGCGTATTATATATATGAATCCTCTTCGATAGCGATATCAGTATGCGTCAACTGGACCAAGTTAGCACGGGACCGGATGGGTCATCGCTATTTTGTACACTGCCCTGCAAAAGTTAAACTAAAAAAAAACGTGTTTGTGCATATATATATATATATATCTCTAGCCAATTCAACTGTGAATTGATGCGACCTCGTCACCAATCCAGTACTAACTACGTTTAACTTCATAAATTCTATCACATAACAAAAAAGTTTATTCGAAAAATTACCATGAAAGACTTTATAGAACAGTCACAAGGAAGTTATATTGAATCGGCAGGAAAATTACAGAGGCTAAGATGTCAGGTTAAGACCAGTAACATTGCAGATTCTTCTTTAGATTTTATCAAGAATCCCCAAATATATAGCAGTGTTATCAGAGCAGATGTGGCAGGAATATTCAAAGCATAGACGAAAGGTAGTAATGGATAGTGGCGTGGATCAAGGAATCGGGTGAGCCGGGTTCGAATTCCAATCGAATCCATTCCGTTAATTTACGTGCTAATACCCTTGGGAAAGACATGAATCCTCTTCTTCTCTCCCCAGCTATGAGTTAATAACAGGGAAGACCGGGTTCTGTTTTGCCTTGGATGGCAACTTGTCTACCGAAGAAACAAATGGCAACCTATATAAAAATATCTGCCTCGTCAATAATATATCTAAAATACATGATCGCCTAAGCGTGTATCATACATGGCATTGAGAGAAGCTAGATTCTGGATATAGAAATTGTCTAGACACGACAGAGTGAACCAGCTTTCCTAGCAGCAGACTTAGCAATTGATTCAATATAAACTTTTCACCATATCAGCGGAAAACGTTAATCTGAGAAAAACGAGTTGCTCTTCTTTTTGGTTAGTATCAGTTCAGACAATTGCAGCAAGGACGAGCTATGATACCGCCATCGAGTCGTATAACACACATTTCCTTCATATTTCATTTGTAAGGAGGAATTTCCTCTCAGCTATTTCCCGAGAACTGCTATTTTGAGAAAACATAAACAAATACTCCCGCGTGGGTGCTTTCCTGAACACATGCAGTGTTAACTCCTTCACGTCATAGGTCAATCACGATCTATCCTCCATAACCTCATATACTTCACTTCCCTTTCTCTTATGCCATATCCCAATAATTAACCCTCTAACTTGAGGGGTTCTTCGGCTTTGTATAGGCAGACTTTTTTTTAAAAAAATGCGAGAAGCAGAGGGAGACCAACGTTCAATGATTTTGAAGAAATTTAGGAATGGAAGCTAAAATTTGGAAATGAAGACTAACATTTAGAAATGAAGGCTAAATTTTGCAAATGAAGGCTAAAATATTTCTTCGCGCGATTATTCTATTTCAATAAACATCTGAGGAAAATCGATCGATTGAGTGATTGATTTGTATTTGCGGTTTATTATCATTTTGCAGGTTATTTAAAACTAGAAAATATGTTTAGATTGTAAGTAGTTATGTTTAGATAATCATGACTTATTGATACAAGTTGTAATAATTAACCCATAGCTTGGGGGAGTACACCAGCTAAGGGTAGCAAGCAACCTAAGAGAAATACAACACTGAATTCAAAAGACATATGTAGCCGTGGCTAAGCATATATTATGCAGCTAATAAAAGTATTGGGGAATTTAAAATGACACTAAGGTCCTGACTAAAGATGTGCGTATGTCTGTGTCAGTCGACTCGTTTAGTTTAGTTTTATTTGAGGTGTGGAAGAATAGGTCGACCTTTGCGCTAGTAAATGAATACAATAAACCCGACTGGAACTGGAACTCGGTTCACCAATTTCAACATCGTTATCCATTACACCACTTGCTTATATAACACCTGGTATTCCCAAGCGATCACCCATCTTGGCACTGTTCAGGCTCGACTGTACTTAATTTCGGTGATCGTCCGAGTACAGGTGTTTCAGCGGGATACGGCCCTAAGTCCTGAAGAAGAACGAGGGATAGTTTGCACGGAATAATCGTCTTTTATTTTAAGTATGGAGATAAGAGTTTAAATAATGTATGGAAGGACACTTTGAACAAAACGCGCACTTAAATCCATTAAACGCTTTTAACTGAATCTCTATTTTAATTTCTTCTCTAGTAATAATTGAACACCTTATTTTGGGGTGTAAAGTTTAATTTAAAAACCTGTTATATATTCATTGGGCCTCTCCCCAATGATGGCTTCACAGCCGTTACGAAGAAGAGCCCCAAAGAATCATTATTATTTATTCATTTTAACGCATTCAGAGTCGCTGTTGTCACCACCCCACCATCTCGTAATTTTAGCTGATGGTGACATTCGAGCCGGAATAGTGTAATGGTTTACCGGTTTCCTTTTGTATCGGGGATGTTGAGGTTATCCAGTCCCCTCTCTCAGAAGACCTACAGGGCAGCAGGTGGTTTGAGGTCAGATTTTTTTCTTTTTCCTAAATCTTAACCAATATAGGGCTCAGTCCGTCTTGTTGTTTAACCCTAGCCGAGGTTGTGGGGGGAGAGAGGGATTGATTCATACATTCCCCATACTTTTCACGTAAGTGAATGTAATAAACTCGACTGGAATTCAAACTCGACTGGAATTCAAACTCGACTCTCGGATTTCTCAATTCGAGGCGCTAACCATTATTCTACCGAGCTTCCATGAAACCCAAAGATGATTATAAAATAAGAAAAGAACACAGCGGATTCTTTAATGGCCACAGACTAAAATTGATAATATCGTTGTCTGTTTTTTTTTTTTTATTTTTGCTTTCAGACAAAGCAATTTGGTATTCCCTTCGGTTATCTATAATATTTCCCCATTTGATGAATTTGTGAATAATCATGAGTGTACTGATTTATGAATATGTTTGGAAAGTGTTGGTGGGGTGGGGCTAGTTTCTTTATGGGCTAGTTTTATCTTGAAGTCACATTTTATAAATGGCTTAAATATGCCGTTTTCAAATTAAACTTTACGTTCGAAAGATTACGAGCTTATGACGGGACTCAATATATTAAATGTCATTCATAGTGACTTTTGTAGTCTTCTCCGAAACTGAGCTTTTGCAAAGTTGACTTTAACCTCCATCCCAACAAACAGAGACCACTCATAAAGGTGATTGCCAGTACTTATTGAACGATAATATAATACTGTTTAATTAACAGTTACCAGAACGGAAAATGGAATCTGCGAGCGGAGTTCGAACTTTGATCATTTTCTCATGAATTCAATTAGGAATGGTGTTTCTTTGCAGGCATGGGTTAAATAGCAGTGTAGACTGTGCTATATAGCTTTGGTTAGAAACCAGTGTCAGAGAAGGAAAACGCCTAATTCCAAACTATGTAGAATCTATTGTTTTCTTTCATAACATTTAAATGTATGGCCTTTAAAGATGTTGTTAATTGTGCCGTAATATCTTTCTTTGTTCCTACGTGTGCCGTTGCTTAAAAGTTTGAGAAACACTGATTTAGACTATAATTCCTTTTATTTAATTATTATATGAAACAATTTCAGATAATAATATTTTGACATTAAAGTCTTTCATTTTAATTTTGGCATTGCAGCTTTACTGGAATTCTTTCCGCCGTATCTGTGAAGTTTCTCTAAATATTTGCATGAAAATTATTTTGATAAGATTTTCTCTTTGACATATTTGTAAATGTTGTTATTTTCATTCTACCTCCATAGACAATTTGTACATATCGGAACTAGTTAGGACTTGATAACAGGCGCAGAGAAATTTAGCATCAACCATGCTGATAGGAGTCAGAGAAGTTTCTCTATAGTCAGTAAATGACAGCAGTTTCGTTTTGGATGCATTAAAATTCACAAACCATTTCCTGCCTCAGTCAGCCACAGATTGGAGGTCATTTTCGAGACCAACGGCCAGGTTAACTGTCAGTAATGCCGGGTTTACTATTGAGGCAAGAGTAAATAGGAGTGTCGTTTGCGTAGATGCCTACTTGAGAACTGATGACATCAAGAAGATCATTGATGAAGGTCAGAAACAGTGTAGGGCTAAAGATAGATACTTGGGGAACACCACCGTTAACCTAATCAAACTATGCTGAACTGGAAAATTGTAAGAAGGCCGTTGATTCCTGCTACACTTTATACCTAACAATGCAGACAATCCCCAGATAATAAAGAAAAGGAATGTGCGGAGAGCCATGATCGACTATGTTCTGAAGATTCAATGCATAAAATACGATAAACTACATCCACGTCCGGGGTATGACGATAAACTACATCCACGGCCCGGGTATGACGATAAACTACATCCACGGCCTGGGTATGACGATAAACTACATGCGCGTCCTGGGTAAGATGATAAAATACGTCCATCAGCAAAGCCTCTGATCAGAAGGTTTTGAGGAGCGTGGAACCACCTCTTAGTTGCAGGTGTTCCCAGGTCCACCCTGACCCGGGGTGGTAGCACCTGTTAGGGGTCCCAACTATGGGTAAATAGTTAACACCCAAACTTGTGTAAAAATAGGTCTTAATACCAGAAATAATTTGTAATAAAAAAAATATTACTACCAATAATTTTTGAAGGAAGAATTATTGTCATTAGTACTTAGAGAAAAAGAAAATACCAGTAATACTAGCAGCTATACATTCAAAGAAGTTGGATTGTACTTAAAAATATGAGTAATTAAAAAATGGTTCAAATATATATATATACATGCACACCTTTGTTTTGCAAATAAATTATTCTAAACTGGAAAAAAGGCAACAGGAACCTATGACACTGTCTTACCAAGAATGCAGGGCAATTCACTGATAGTAAAAAAGAAAGTGTGGAGAGCCACGATCATCTACGTCCTGAAGTGGCCTAATTTTTTGTTAAATATTGAATAATTCTGAGTGATTAATAACAGAATCAAGTTTTTTTGTAGATCGCCTGTTTTGATCCGAGATTAGTGAAATCTAACGTTATTGCCAGTTGTACACGGCTTTTCTCATTTTACTGACCCTTGAAACTAAATCTACACAAAGATAAAAGTTTTGCCCCTGTTTGTGTAACAATATGAGTCAGCTGAGAATTTTTTACATTGAAAACAGCTGGACCTGTCTCAAAAATGGATACAAAAAGTTTACTTTCCACCGATGGTAATCAGTAAATGGAGTCAACTTCAAAGTGCAGAGCAAGACGCTCAGAGAGAGATAGAAACGAAAGAAAAATTAATTACTTTCTTAGACGAAGATGACAATACAAAGAAATTTGTTATCTATAAAGCTTACCATCCCAGGAAAAGGCACACACAGGGCCAAAGCGGCCTGGGAGAACGGTCAGGGAAGACAGCTGTTAGATTGTGCGTCCCCTTCACCTACGCCTCATCACAAGTTCGCACGCTTATAGAAGTAGACTAGAACCAAAAACTAAAAACTGGTTTACTGCTAAAGATGGGTAACGATCTGGCTGAAGGGTAATTTTTAAGCCACAATCTTTTGACTGGAAGAAACAGCAACGAACCTGGGGTCTGGGATGAGCTGCAACGAAACATTTATCCAGTTTTAATTCTGAACCATTGGTGAAAAATTTGGTCGCATATGCTGCAGTTAAAAATGACCATAGTCTGGGGTTTTTCGTTTCCCAAAATATTATCGAAACCTTGCATTTGATATCTCATCTGGCCAACCCAGTAGGGGAAAAAACTGTCTTGTAGCTTTCAACGTTCCAAAGACAAAATTAATATCGTTTCACTATCATCATCGATTAGATACATAGTTTTCTGCAATCATGGTGAACGTTTGCCTTTTCAATCAGACTCCATGATTTGATTGTCTATTTGGTCTTCACTCCAGACTCCAACCGGTACATCTATACGATGCAGTGCTTAAAGAAGCAGTAAAATTGGTCGGCTCATTCCATCATCCCAGGAAGTCACTGATTCCTTGTCACAAATGTTCTATCATAACAATTTCTTCACTTACATTACCCCTCTTGGAACTCTCGCCCGGCTTCTTGCATTACAGTCCAGTTTTCTTTTCAAAAATTTAAATGCAATATCAATCTTTATTTCTGACTTATTAATTTCTGTTTTTTTTTATTCTCTCTTCTTATTAATATTTCTTTCCTATTATTTCATAATCAGCAACACCCTGCGTCTTAGGGGCTTTATTGCCTTATGTAAAATATTTCATAAAAAGCTTATGAGAATCAGGCTCTAGATACCTCCACAAAATCGCTGACACAAAGAGCATATTATGATGAAAAAATGCCTTCATCTTGATTCAAATTAGGTTTTATCCTTAAAATCTTTATGTTATTATATAAAGACCAAAGCATTTTTAATTATTTAATAATATTTTTATCCTTTGTAGAACATTCAAAATTTTGGTTTTTCTTGCATCAGCTGATGGATTGTAAAATAGCACAGCAAATTTTAGTGTCTTTTTTGCGGTGAAAGACACATTGATTTGGAAATTCTTGTAAAAATTAAATAAATGTCGGATTTTAATTAAAATTGCAGGATTTATTAATGAAATAATTATTTTAGAAATGTTTTAGGGAAAACTTGATAAAAAATATTTTTAACATGAGTTACACACCAATTAATTTTATGAAAACTTGAGAAATTCAACGAGATAATTTCTAATAATTAAATTAGTTAAAAGCAGAACTTTTTGGAGAATTATAAACTCAATTTTCTTTAGTAAAATCAGACCCCGTCTTACTGAAAATCCGCTCTTAATAGTAAAATAAATAAACGCAATAAAACTAAGAAATTATTTAATTGGGAAAGCATTTGACGTTATGAAAAAGATATATTGTCCGGAGAAAGAATATTTCTTCGATTAATAACGAATTTTACAAGATTTCTTTCAATTTTTTATAATTTTTTTTTTTAATCGTTTCACCCCAAGCAAGGCGGGAAGCCACTAGGACGCAAGGGGTTACAGAAAATCTGGAGCAAGATCAGATAGGAGTGATATAGGAAAGGATGAGG